GATTTCAGAAATGATTTCAATGACGGCACTTTGATACTTTATGCATCGTTGCCTTGTGTTGGAGGTAGCCCGTGGGGGAATGTGAATGGCCTTACTGTTGAGGGTCAAGAAAGAATCAAAAAGCAACAAAAACAGTTTACCAAGTTGTTCAAATCTTTTGTCAAACTTGTGGATGAAGTTTGTGATGAACGAACCTTGATAGCATTTGAACTGTCCAAGAATTGCAAATATTGGAGATGGCCGATGGTTAGAAAATTCCTCATAGAACGATCCATGACTACTCATCACTTTGATGGTTGTATGTTGGGTGTTCTTGGAAACAACGGTCAACCAATGAAGAAAAGTTGGACTATTGCAGGAAACTTCAAAGAACTCGAAGTGTTAGACTCATTCAAATGTGATGGCAAACATGAGCATGATCAAAGTAGGGGCAAAGCTCTTAAACTTGCTGAGAACTATACCTTCAAGTTGACTGACATGCTCCATGAGTGTTTCCGGGTAGCTGTGGTGGGCCAAACATCCAAAAGGATTTCACCCGCTGTCATTCGTGCCTGTCCTGCTAAAATGGCTGACTCGCGATATGCCACAGCACACCCGGCCAGCCGCGAGGCTGCGCTCGAAGCCACACGTGAGGCTAACAAAGAAGCATGGTTGCTCCTTCACAATCGCATTTTGTTTGCATTGGCCATGCGCAATGAAGGTGAGAATCAGGCTGCTCAGGACCTCGTGGATGGACTGATGACTGAATGGACGCCGGCTTCGGCCCTGAGGTTCTACGGTCGAGAGGATCCGCTTGCAGAATACCTTAGCTTCTGCTTTTTGCCAAAGGAGTCCCACATTGAAAAGATCATGTTGCCAGAGATGCCCGTCAATGATGTAATCTGGATCTTAGTCTCTGACTCGTCATGTGCATTGATCACAGGGCGTAGGAAAACACTTAAGAAGTTTGACCTGTCCGAGCATTACCGGCAGCGCAAGCCTAAGTATGTGACTGAGTTCATCCATGAGATGCTTTGGGGCAAGACTCTGCAGAAGCTGGTCAAGCGTGGGATTGAATTGGCCGCGGACGCCCGCGAGCGCTATCCTGATGCACGCATCAACCTGCATTTGTCCTGGTTCGGAAATGAATTGGTAGGAGAGGATGGGATTGCCCAAAATCCAAATTGGCCGTACGACGGCCCCAACGGGCACTGGCCCACGATCCTGGATGATTGTGAGCGCCACTTGACATGGTTTGTCAACAAGGCCCGGGAGTTGGATTTGCAGTCGGCCGGTCTCACGACCGCGCCTTGGAGCGCAGATTATGGCATCCATCCTATCTTTGACCAGTTCTTTGATGTTTTGGAGCCCCGATTTAAAGCTCTAACCAGCAGCCTGCAAGGGCTTGCCAATCCGAAGTATCCGTGGCTGAGAGCAAAGGGGTACGCCGATGCAATGGAATTCAGAGACCAGTGGCATTTCGCCAACTCTGAAGAAAATCGCACGCGTCTTGCTGCCTATTGGACAGCTACCCTTTTCGCAATTGATTGCGGATGGCGGGTTGGCCGAATTGGTTTGGAGCTTACTCAGTGTGGCCAGGAGACATGGGATGATTTGCGGAGGAACATGAGCGCCGTCCTGGACGAGCTGCCAAGATCCTATCAGGAGACATGTGCAAACATCACCAAGTTGCTTTTTGGAGAGTCCCGAAGACACATCACGCCGACGGGCAGGTCATTCACCAAGGAGGACGTCGAAGCTCAACAACCTGACACTGAGGACTACATCGACACCAAGACGATGCCTTCGGGCACTTTTGCTGAGCCTCCCAAAGATGACCCTCCAAAGGCCGCCGGCGACGGCGAGCCCGCTGCATCCAGCAGAGCAACAATCCTGGTCCAAACGGCTGAGGTCATGTTGAAGTCGCGGCCGAAAGCAGCACCAGCACCATTGGATGAGCCCGCAGATGACAAGAGAGCCACATCCAGCCAGTACCAGCCGCAGGCAACTGCGCGCTTAGAGGGACATGCATCCGGCCACGTGAAAGCATATTGGATGGAAGAGCATTTGCCTGAATACCAATATACAATGGTGACCAATGCAGACGGGGACGATGTGCCCGGTATCCTCTTTGAAGGTACGGCTTATGAGCTGGAGCTGATATCGGCATCCGACGTTGAGACCATTGCTGGCCAGACTCGTGTCGACAAGAAATTTTCTGATTTTGCAACTCGTGTCAACAAAGTTTGCAGGGGGCATGGATCCTGTGCCAAGGTGCCAATGGACAAAGACCTTTGGATTGACTTGGAGGATTTTGCCAAAGCCTTCCGCAAGGAAGTGCCCCCAGATGTTTTCATCACTGTCGCAAACCTGTTTGGCACCGCAATGAAGATCGACAAGCATGGCAAGAGTAGGTTCCAATTCTTGTGTGCAAAGATCTCCCATTTTCCTGTCGACAATGGCCTAGGCATGCCGTATTATCCTGTGAAAATCCGTGCAATTCAGGGTCACTCCGAAGCTGCCTTGAAAACCGCAGGGGGTCTTTATGCCAATTCAACCATGGTGTATTGCTCAAACCAAGTATCCCCCGAGCGAAAAGCCGCCTTCACTGGCGTGCCCTTGTGTGCCATGACTGAGGTCCCTGAGGTTGTCTTCCATCGCACGATGAGAAGCAGCTGGAAGAGCATCGCACAGAATGGCCTGATCCCAGGCGGCGGTGACACAGTCAACAGTGGTCGTGCTCATATCTACATGGCAGAACACTGTATCGGCACACAGGGGTATCGATCTGGATTAAGAGCAAAATGTCCAGTCGAAGTCAAAATCGCAATGCGGCAAGCAGTTGAAGCTGGTGTCATCTTTAGCCGCACAGAAATGGATGGTATTTTGTGTTCAGAACGCATTCCACCGCAATTTCTGGTCAGCATCTCAGAAGAAGGACAGGTGCTTTGGACCCGCGCCGAGAGCAATCTCGAGCCCAGCTCATGGACAGGCGCGGAATCAGCCTCAGCACCGAAATCCAAAGCGGTCACCCTGACTGCCCGAGATGATGCAAATGACGACCCAATGGATGACACCAGCACGGGGCGACCCGATGCCAAGTCCACTGATGATGATGCAGCCACTGCCCCAATGCAAGTTGACCAGCCGCCCGCAAGGACGCGCCGTGTTTACATTGCACCCAAGTACTGCGAACCTTTCATGGGCTCCTGCCCCCTCTGCCAGGTTGAGTACGTCAGTGGCCAAGTGACATGCACCACATGTGGATATGAACCACTCCCAGTGGACGAAAGTGGCGATACAAAAGAGGCCGACAAACCCAACAGGAGGACACGCATCCTTGAACGGCGAATGCAAAGTCTCGCCGGGTTCGGAATGTTTGGGAAAATGAGCGGAAGCTTGCTGACAGCCTTGACGGATGAGCAAGCCAATCTGCTTCGCCGGGAACTGGGCCCCAGGGGAATCACATCCGTGGAATCAGCAGTCCTCAAAGACTGCCGCGACAGGCATCGACGTGCAAAAGCGCTGGGCTACGAGGACGTGGAAGACAGATACTCCAGCGACGTCACTTTTTGCGACCGCATCCACGGTGAGGGGAAGGACCTGCAGGACTGCATATTCGACGATATGTTCGCATATGGTAACCTCCCCGATCCCCCAAGGACCAAAGCTCAGATCTCGGCTGGCGTCGCCGCCAATGCCCAAAATGAAAACTGCTTATCTAAGTTGATTTTCATGTCCCAGCCTCGAGGTGTTGATGGTTTCCCAGTTGAGTTCCGCAAAACATGGAAGAAGGTCTGGGGATTCATGTTCGGCCGCCACATTTTTACAGAGGATGAATATGTCAGCTACATCGGTCGTCGTGGCGCATTCCGTGGCCTTTTGACCTGGAAGGGCACTGTCCAAGTTCCTTTTGATGGCACTCTTGAATTCCTCGAAAAGGTGTATGAGGAAAATCTTCCATTGGTTCGGGGAAACCTTGAACGCAAAGAGAAGCAGAGCGCCGCTGCAAAGGCTGGAGGTCCTGGAGGTCATAAGGCCGACCCCACGGTCGCGCCCACCACTGAGCGAAAACGCAAAGCCGAAGCTGATGCATCCGTCACCACACATGATGACACTGCCGCCTCAAGCTCTGCTCGCGCAGATGCCTCGCACGCTGATGCCCCAGTTGACCCCAACAATGCACCATTTCTTGCACCCGAACCACCAACATCCAAAGCAGGAGCGCGACCATTCTTGGAGCCTGAGACACCGCCCACTGCAAAAGCAGCAAGCACAGGAGTCACATCAAAGGCTGCAAGCTCCGGTCGCCCGGATGCCTCCTGGAGTTGGAATCGTGATCACTATGGTGCACGCCGAGAATGGAGTTTCTGGCGTGGGGCTTGGTATTACCGTGACGAGGCCGGCGGCCGGTGGATCTATTGGAACCGCAGGTAGACGATGATTTTCTTTTGTAGCATAGCGCAAGATGCGGCATGGTAATGTGCCTCCCTTGCAAAGCTGCGCTGGGTTTTACGGGCTTGAGCTTTTTAAAGGGACCTTTGAAAGACTGCATAAAATGTCCAAAGCCAAACAAACAGATTTGGCTACCCGCGAGGGTATGCTCTTCTGGGTTATTCGTTCTCCGCAGTCGTCCCTGCTCGCCCGAGGGGGGGTGTAAAAACTCCTGCAGTAAAACCATGTAGTGTATATATCATCGATCTACTCTGTAGCGTTGGTTCAAAAGAGCTGAGTGCTTAACGGTGTTAGCTTAGTATTTCACCCCATTGTCGGTTGACCTGGTAAAATACATATATATACATTATATATATATACACAATATATATATATACACATTACATATATATATATATAATTACATAATATGTATAATATACATATATATATATATGTGTGTGTGTGTGTGTTTGGAAATCCATGTTTAATGTTCTTTCACATTGTTTCACCACATATTTTTGCCGGTCACTTCCATTGTATCCCCAGCCTTTTCCACGGCGTCGGAGCGGCCGCGGGGGTCGCAGGCTGATCACAGCGTGCTACGTTTGTTGCAGATCTCCCAGCAGCCGCTTGGTTAGGGGGAATTATCCCATTCCAAAATGGGGATGGGTCAAAACCTATGACTGGGGGAATAATAAAACACCAACCAGCCATTTTAGGGAACCGTTTTGGGTACCAGGGCTTTTGAGTAAAACATAATATGTATATAATTATGTCTATGTAGATTTTATCGGTTAATGATGCGATCTATGTTTCTGGATTATTTATTGGGTATATATATATATAACGCTAAATCATATGTAAAATGGTGTATATATGGACATGTATCTGGGCGATGTCCTAGTATAAATCATGATACAATTACATAGTTATATAATATCAATCTACAGGTAATCAAATAATGAACTGATGGTATAGAAGTATTAGCGTACGTCTAATTGCATGTATATAGAATTATGTAAATATCATGGTGTATTACGGTATAATTATAAATCTGTAGTATATATACATACATACATATATATATATATTGTAATATATATATATATATATATATGTATGTATGTATGTATGCATGTATGCATGTATGCATGTATGCATGTATGCATGTATGCATGTATGCATGTATGCATGTATGTATGTATGTATGTATGTATGTATGTATGTATGTATTACACGGTATGTACAACACTGTCGTATATTTCCATACAACATTGAAAGTTATATATATATAATTACGGGTATAAAGGTATGCAGAATGATGTATATATGTACAGGTAACATTGTATGGTACATACACCATACACGTGCATGCATGGAAATCAGAGTGATGATGAGCAAAAAGATACAGTAACAAACGCGGCCTGGGAAGTAGAAAACTGGACAGAGTGTGGCCATGGAAGTTCAGGTCCGGAGCGTAACTGCTGTTTTGAGAGGATGAATGAAGGTTTCAGTAGAAATCAGAGATGACTTTGGCAGTTGCGACCTTGTGAATCTTCCTGGAAATATGGTTGTTCTATGTTGTTCTTGCTATTCTTGGGTTTGACACCTACTGTACTCAACTTGATATACTTTAGATAAGGACGCTACTGGTTTTTGTCTCTCAATTTCAGAATGGCCTTGTGCGATCTCCACACTTCGCAACACAGGGGTGCAAATGCCGGAATCTTCCAGCTTCATCCAACTTCCAGGTTGAGGTGGCTCCCAAACTACTTCCATAAGAATCCCCTATTCGGTACTGGAAGATCTGGAAGCTTATGGGACTGGGGGTGCCCAAGGGGTCCCGGACAGAACTTATCCAACCATCGATGCCATCGCTTCAGCTGGACGCGCTGGGACCTCCACCTCTCCGAGGCACATCGAGTCTCAGTTGGAGCGTGTGAAACACGAGCGTGAGCTGTGGTTGGGAGCCTCGAGGGTGTCAGGTATCAAGCAGTAAACAGTTTAAACATGGACACGTGGGAAATCATGGAACTTTGATGAACTTTATGAACTTTAAAAAATTCGGATTTATAATGGGCAAACAACGGGTTTGAAGCAGCACAAATCAAGTTTGAAGCAGCACACTTCGGGTTTCAGTTTCAAGTGGACTCACCAACAAATGGTGGCTACCAAGGAAAAGGAGGGGGCAGAAACAACCCCAAACCAGGGTCCATCTTGTGCTTGGGGCGTTCCAGTTATAATACATAGCCATAGTTCTGGGGTAAGTATAAAAGTTATATCATGTCCATATATCCCAAGTTCGGTGGGTTAGAATCCCATACTAATATCATCTAACATCCAGTGTTTTCACCCCAGTCCTGCACCCTGTGGTACCAGCCATGTTTCCCCAGGAAGGAAGTCGTGGAACGCCGTCAGCAGCAGCTGCTGGCCTCAGGGTGAATCATATCCTCTTTTTTTTTAGCGGGGAGAGCATGTAAAATCAAACAAATGGTATCTCGATGTTCATTTTTTTTTGGGGAGGGGGGAAATGATGTGGAATTATTGAAAAACAGCTGAGATTGCCAAAGAAATTGAAGAACTAGGTTTTTGATTGTCAAGAACGATGGTGGCAATGCTTTTCTTCCACATGGTGTGAAGGTAAGAATTACCGGAGCCGCGGGGAGCTTTGGATTGTCAAGAACCAGTGCTTTTCATGTATTTTAAATCCTTACATCAATCCAGTGATCGGGCGGATATACTTTTCAACAAGAACGTGACTGCTAGCAAGGTGGGTTGCACCGCAGTTCAGGGGAAAACCGGAAAACCAGAGTTATCAACCAGCGACAGCAATTACTGGGATGATCCTCTAAGGGTCTCCAGTACCTTTTTCCTCGGGAGTGGATCGCCACCGAGCACCTGAGGCCCCTTCAGCTTGCCTTGTCGATGAAGGAGCAATCCACCAGCTGAGGCAGTCCCAATGCTTGGAGTCTGTGATGGCCTGTTGGTTTGTAGCTCATCAACATACCTGAGCAACTCTCAAATTCTTGCAAACATGGGGAAATACTGGCTGGATTAGTGATGACGATCACTGGTTACCCATAAAATCCGAGGAACAACGCAACAAGCGGGTGCACATATGCCCGTGGTTGTTGGCAGATGATATTCGCATTCAGAATTTGAAACTACTCAGCTGCGGAGCGAATCATTTGAGCCTCACCCCAGATCTCAACAAATGCAATTTTTCGTTGGTAGTATATGGCCATTGCTACGGCTCACGGCTCATAATTATAGACCCCGGAATTGGATGCTGGTATTTCCAAGTCAATGAAGATTTGTGGCTCGTTGGGTACCACTTATTACTAATTCTCCATTTCTGGTTGCTCCTGTTTGTCAACATCCCAGTTTCTTGTTGCTTATGCCCAAGGCCATTTCCTTATTTTGTTTCGTGGATTCAAATTGGTACTTTATATTTTATATATCTTTGCCTTGCTTACATCATGTTACATCCTCATTTTGGTATATTTTGGTATTCTCAAATCCCAATATTGATATGATGTCCGTTATACACCCATATCCCCTCATTCCCATTTGTCCATGTTTGCCAAGTGAAGTGTCTCAGAGGTGCATTTCATCCCTGGGCAAAGTGGCAAAGCGCAGCAGCACCGGAAGTCCTTCCGTTCAAAGATCTGAGGATTGATTTTCCGGCCTGGGGCCCCCATGGAGCCCGCTGATGGTCCCAGACAATGTGAACGTTAAAAGTGGTGCTTTTGCAAAGGAAATGATGAGAAGCAAGTTGGGACAGATCTGAAACAGACTTTAAGAGTTTGGAACTGCTGAATTGCTCAGGATGAGCTGGGTCCCAGTTTCCACTTTCCGCTCGCTGCGCCCAAAAGAAGCGGGTGAGCCCGCAAGACGCAGGGCTCACCCTCCAGTGCCCAGGGTCGTATCTATGCTTCGTACTGATGTCAAGTGCCGTTGTCTGGTAGGAACACACATACACACACACATATAATATATATATATAATCCTTTCCCCCTATTGCTAAACATCCCCCAAATACTAGAAACTAGGGTCCATCTCCCAGTTTGGAAAATTTCACGTTGGCCAATTTGACTTTAATTGTTCCCCTTTAGAAAACAATTTAAACATAAAGCTGCCATTTGTGTTTTTTGCCCCCTAATAATAAAAACTAGTCAACCCCGGGGTGTTTATTATTAGGTTTTTTTGTTTTTTATATAAGGGCTTTTTATTTAGTATTAGGGCCCGCTTCGAAAACCAATGTTTGGCAATATTTTGATTGCGTTATAGAATGAAATTTTTAATTGATTTTGAAATCGAACAAACTAGTTTTCATTATTAAGGTTTTAAATTTATTAATAGGGTCCGCTTCGAAGTCCAAAATCCAATTTTTGGCAATATTTTAATTGCGTTATATCTTATAAGGAAATTTAATTGATTTTGAAATCGAACAAACATGAACAAACTAGTTTTTATATGTTTTTATTATTAAGGTTTTAAATTTATTAATAGTGTCCGCTTCGAAATCCAATTTTTGGCAATATTGTAATTGCGTTATAGAAGGAAAATTAATTGATTTTGAAATCGAACAAACATGAGCAAACTAGTTTTTATTTGTTTTTATTATTAAGGTTTTAAATTTATTAATAGTGTCCGCTTCGAAATCCAATTTTTGGCAATATTGTAATTGCGTTATAGAAGGAAATTTAATTGATTTTGAAATCGAACAAACTAGATTTCATTATTAAGGTTGTAAATTTATTAATAGGGTCCGCTAATCCAATTTGTGGCAATATTTTAATTGCGTTATATAAGGAAACTTAATTGATTTTGAAATCGAACAAACTAGTTTTCATTATTAGGGTTTTAAATTTATTAATAGGGTCCGCTTCGAAATCCAATTTGTGGCAATATTTTAATTGCGTTATATAAGGAAATTTAATTGATTTTGAAATCGAACAAACATGAACAAACTAGTTTTTATATGTTTTTATTATTAAGGTTTAAAATTTATTAATAAGGTCCGCTTCGAAGTCCAAAATCCAATTTTTGGCAATATTTTAATTGCGTTATAAAAGGAAATTTAATTGATTTTGAAATCGAACAAACATGAACAAACTAGTTTTTATATGTTTTTATTATTAAGGTTTTAAATTTATTAATAGGGTCCGCTTCGAAATCCAATTTGTGGCAATATTGTAATTGCGTTATAGAAGGAAATTTAATGGATTTTGAAATCGAACAACCTAGTTTTTGTTATTAAGGTTCTAAATTTATTATTAGGGTCCGCTTCGAAATCCAAAATCCGATTTTTGGCAATATTGTAATTGCGTTATTTAATTGATTTTGAAATCGAACAAACTAGTTTTTAAGGTTTTAAAATTATTGATAGGGTTCCCTTATAATAAATACCCCCTAATAATAAAAACTACCTGAGGTGTTTATTAATAGGGGCGGTTAGTATTAGGGGAATGGGATTATATATACACATAATTATATATATATAGCTTACAGCTATACCTACATTCATATATACATTAATGTCACTAATAGCCGTTGATGCCAGGAAAAAAAGAGGCAGCCAGGCAACTGGCGGAGAACATGACACATAAGACACAGCAGACACGCGCAGGTGGCACCACGCCACGTAGCAGACTTGGCACTTGAATGCCTTAAGAATTCTGAGGGCTGCTTGCCGGAACCTGACACATTAAATACAGTCTCCGATGCAGGAAGTTTAGACTCAGACGTCAATCAGGTTCTGGAGTTGGATGCTGTGTTCCAAGACAAATTTTGGACAAAATCCAAACCCTCCGCTGTGCTGCGAACATGGACAAGATCCACCCGCTGCCACGAAGAGTCTCGCGGACAAAAAGCTGAAGCGTATGCTGCAGCACACCCCAATCTAACGATCACGCAAGGTAAAAGCATTTCTGCTTTTGACATCTTTAAACATATTTTAACATTTTCTAAACATTTGTCAACATCTTTACCACTGTTTTTGGATGTTTGGGGAAATGCTGTTATACTGTGTCACACTGTTTTTTGGATGCAACAATGTATCTTTTTGTGCCAAGCAGCCACGTGCTCCATGAAACGTGACGCAGCTGCAACGTGGCTCGAGCTGAAAGAAAGCTGCGGCAGATGGAGGCGGCAGATGTGCCATGGAGATAGGGATAGGGGGTGAGAAAGCACATATATGCAAATATGCATTCAACATCATCAAGTCACCATGTTCCGTATTACATTTGGGGGGGTATACCCCATTTTCAGATACACCCATGTATTGTTCTTAAAGTATATGAAAGTATTGAAATTGTACATAGTACAGGTGTGTATCGTTATCTTATGAAGTTATCAGTTATCCATGAAACATTTCGTCAAATTTGGGGCAAAATTGGATCGGCATAATAAACCATCCATTTTTTTCCGGGGGACCCACTGCGTCAGTCACGCACATCGACCCGCATTGGAATTGCCCAAATACAGCAGGGGCAAGCCCCTACCCGTTGACCAATGGTTGACCACGGTTGACCAATTTAGCATGAATTCCATAGCGTTGAGAGTAATGGGCCCTTATAAGTTGGTTTATAATTTATAAACCATTATAAGCCCCATGAACTATAGTAGTTATATCATGTTATATCTACCATAAACCATAGAATTCAGCCACTTATAAGGCGACTGAACGCTATCGAACGGGGGCCCATCCTGTAATTTCTAAGGGAAAATGAGGCTTTAAACATCTTTAAACCATGGGATGGAATGACTGCCTACTCCCAACCACTGTGACAAGTGGGTCCTGATGTAGGTGTGGGCCACAGTGTAGGCCTCCCGAACATAGGACTCCCCCAAAAAAATGATGGTTTATCAGTGCTATGTATATAATACAATTGTATGTAATTGTATGTATATATGTATATTATATATAATGGTATATAGTGGTATGTAATAGTAATAAACATGATAATGATAATAGTATGCAATTTAAATGAAAATAGACTTGCTGAATACAATGCAATACTACAATGTTCTACATTTTCCCCATCAACATTCACCAGAACCATGATTGCCATCCCCCATTTTTGGACCAAGCCTTAAAGCTGTCCCATTTGTGGCCTTGTTGATAGTAACGTGTCAGCAACCTCCATAAAGATATTGACAAGTTAAATGATGATGACTAATTTCGTCTATATTTCTAGGGATGGGACTTTCCATATTTCTAGGGATTTGCCCCTATTTCAATTTCTAGGATCTGTCCATATTTTACCGGCTACTCTTTTCAGGGCTTACTCCAGCGAGGCCTTGTGGTTCTCCGACTCCTCCTTACAGCTCTGCGCAGCCTTGGCCCTGCTGATTCTGTGGCAGTGCAGGGCTACCAAGACTTTGGCCGCCTTAGCTGAGGAATCCCCCAACGAAAAATGACGAACAATGGAGGTTTATAGCTGGGAACATCGGCTATAAATGATGGATTTTCCAGCAAGCCATGTTTGTTGGCATGTTTTTGCGGTTTGTTTCAACATGAGGAACTGAGGCACAAAGTGTTTGTTGCTTTGTTTAAAACATGTTATTGTTTCATGTTATTTCCCTGCGCCTTGCGGTTTCCAGGGTACTCACCTCCGTTTGCGGTGCCCATTATTGTTGCCTTTCTCACGTTGTCACATCTCCCTGGTGTCATCATTAGTCTTGCCGTTTTGAAAGTCAAAGTTTATTTCTAATTTCCATGTTCGCAGCGGTTGAAGAAGTGTGCATGCCGTTTTCGTTTATACACAGGGAACATCGACAGTAACCCCAAACAAATTTGGGAAGGTGAACATCCAGTATCCCTTCAAATTTTCTCTGAGAAACGCTGCTGAATGATTGACATTTTTGGTTCATATAGAACCATCTAGAACGGCTCGTACTTCGCTTGTGGCGGTAAGATGCCCCAATCGCTTGTGGCAGTAAGAACGCCGCAAGTGATTTTTTTTTTACTGCCGCAGGTGATTGCTGTTTTTGCGTGGCAGGTGCAGCATTTCAAGGCCTAATCGCTTGTGGCGGTAAGATCGCGGTTTCTGTTTTCAATCGCTTGTGGCGGTAAAAAATCTATCGCTTGTGGCGGTAAGTGGGTTTCCTTGATGCCAGGGTAGATAAAACCAATCGTTTGTGGCAGTAAGCTGCTTTGCAGCACTTGCGCACATACTTGTCTTCTATCCATGTGATTTCTACACATTCACTGGAACCATTGCAACGCTGACGTACAGAAGGTTTATGTTAACTTCTTTCTGTTGTACAGGATTTCACTGTTTTTACTGGTGTCTTGATTGAAGTTTAGATCATGTCTGTATCCTTTTAAGGGGATCTAACAAAGAGGGTTGGAGCAACTTTTTAGGGTGCTACATATTCGACTCGGTTACCATAGGTAAAACATATGGCTTTTGATAGCATTTGGTGTGAATCTAACCCAGAGAGAATGAATGAAAGGAGAAAAAGAAAGACCGACTTTTATCCAGGTGGAATTTCAGCTCTGCTGTGTTTTTCATGTCTTTTCGTTTTGCAGTTGGGTATATATAATGGTATATAACGCGACGGCTGATATAGTGGTTATAAATACCGTGGCGATAGCCTCACGTTAGGATATACATAGAACGGCGCGACCGCGACTAGATTTGTAGCTGTTAAGCGAGCGTGCAGTTCCATGGAAAGGTTCAGGGCTTAGGGTGGAAACTTTACTTACATACCTAGCACATAATCATT